CCACAAGGAATCATCTGAGGGCCTTAAAGTTTCATTAAGTTAAACTTATTTTATGTTGATGCAGATTGATGATAGGAAAGCTTTATTGTGGCTTTTCTAAGAAATGGGTCTCACCTAGAATCAAGTTCACTGCGTTGGTCTTTGAGGTGTATTGTGGCCTGTGGCCTGGTTTAAATATCTCTGGTGTAAAATGAATTACATTTTTGTTTATGTTTCAATTTGAACCAGAAGAATTTTCACACTCATATTTGTACTAAATACATTTACATAATGTATTGCCTTTGTATCTAACTGTAGGAGGTAAATAAAGCAAGTAACTTTGTATCCAACTGTAGGAGGTAAATAAAGCAAGTAAACGTTGGAATCATATGGAATGAATCCTCTCAGTTTTATGGGTCATACAAACTATATGGTCCTGGACTTGTTTGCAACAAGGAAGCTGTTTGACTGGGGGACGGTCAACTGTTTGACTGTATGTCCACTCTTGCAGGCGCTGTGAAAGCTCCTGAGCAGTCCAGTTGGTGGCAGTAGTTCAAGCCCGTAGGATGGAGAGCTGCTGTTATGGATAGTCTGTGTTTAATATAGACACCTGAAAAAACAACAACAATTCTGCTCCCCTAATGAAAGAAATCAAGTAGCCCACAACATGACTCATCTTTTGGTTTTGCTTTAGTTTGATTTTGTTCACATTGTGTAAAGGTACAAGAAAAAAAAAAGTTGATTTCCACATGAGAGAAAAAGATGAAGGGGTCGATGCCTGCAATTAATGTTTTGATGATTTAATTCAATGATTAATTCAACGATCTCAACCCAGGTTCATCTGAAACCTTCCCAACTAAAGCTGCACCAAGACAAACCACAGGAAATGTCGGATAACATCTTGTTTGTCAGTAATTATAGCTTGTACGTTTTGGGTTATTGGGGTGAAGCAATGTTCTGCTTTTATTAAAAGCTGTCGTCCACTCCAAGGTTGTAATTCCACTAACATTAGTGCACAAACCTAATATTGAACAGGAAATGAAGGGGTTCAGTATTTTGCATGCAGTTTGCTGTTGTCATTAATTTGTTTTAAATCCCTTTAGGCTCGCCTTGTTTTTACAAAGATGTTTTCCAGAGTCTCCCGTCGCTGGCGTATAATTGTGGATATATTTGTGCGCTCGTCTCAGACCAAGTCATTTTTTATCCCTCATGTTTCCCTGTCTGCTGGTGTGGCCCCCTGCCTTTCTGTCCAACCGCTTGGCTATCTCTCTCCTTCCTGCCTCCCCATGTTCATTCCTGTCTGTCTGGTACACTTGGAAAGTGCCCTTTACACGTCGGTACTGAGGCAGGGTGGTGGCTGGATGAAGGCTGTGAGTGTGGGGGGGCTTCACATCCTAAACTAGGTCAGTGAAGACACACCCATCTCTCCCCTCGGTGTGCCCCTGTTTTCTCCCCCTTTCTCTCCATTTTTCCTGCGCTCCCCCACTGTGACGCAATGCAGACTTTCTGCACAGGCCTCCAGTTTCCCCTTTATTATCTCCTGAGTCTGAAAACAGGCAGCACCGTATGCTGCTTTGTTGATGACAGCGACACTTACATCCTCCATATCAGCAATTATGCAAAGCACACATCAGCTGAACAACAAAGTTATTTTGCACTTTCACAAATGTCATTGAAATCGGATGATTCAGCTGTGCCATATGGATCTGCAGCTCTGATTTGCTCCTGGTTTCTGTTGTGTTGATGGATTACATAATGCTCCAGCAATTGCATAATACTTGTGGGAGTTTGTCGATCCCTGATCCAAGACATTTTGGGAGAGCAGTGAAGAAACTGTGTCAGTGTTACTGTGTGACTGCTTTGGCAGAGACACTGTCAAACAAACTTCTCCTGTCTCCCCCCTCCCTCTCTCCCTCTCTCCTTCTCCCTTTCTCATTGTGTCTGCATGTGTTTGTCATGCAGAATAAAGAACAGTCCTTTCATTCATCCGCCATTTGTAAATGCAATAAATAATCAACTTGTGACTAACCATGTGCAGCCCTACGACAGTAACGACGAAGAATCGTGGATACTTAATCTTTAACAGCCGTCACCAAATATTACATAAGCGCCGCATGTTGTAGCACAGACCCGACACTAGATGGCTCTGTTTCTACTCACTGTGCCTCAGTGAGTCATCCAGCCGACTGTAGAGGAACTGAATTCTGAATCATTACATCTACGCTATGCTAAATTTACATCATTATTAAAAAACAAACAAACAACAACAACACTGTGCAGTGAGGCATCAGGATGAGCTGTTTGATGAAAGTGTTGAAGATACGAGAGGAAACGGCTGAAATATGTAATAATGAGTTTGAATAGCGAGGTGAAAGGAGAGTCTGATAAAGACTACATGGCTGTGCAGTCTGTAGATAAAAACACAAAACAACGTCAGGTCACTGGACCAAAAGATTAGGGAAGCAAGATGAAACAATAGGCACATTTGAGGAAACGTGAAGGGTAGTAGAGTGGTTTTCTCTCTGTCCATAAACACGTCTATCTGCAGACGTTTCTGACATCTAACATTTTCCTCTGGACATTGTCACCTTGCCTGTGGCAACAGAGGAAATTCTTCTTTTTTATAAATACCACAGTGTTTCCATGACAGAGGAGAAAACTAAACTACAGTGTTAGTCTATATGCACCACCCCAAAGTCCAAGACTGGTGTTTCTTTAACCTTAACCTTATTTAATACTCAAATGATTTCCTTTTAGAGGAGTGAAGTTGTTTTAAAGCAGCATTTTAGCAGATTTATAGAGTCAAATTAATGTAATGCTGAATTAGTTTTGGACTTGGAGAAGCCGGATTAGGATTAGTTCTATTCACACATGCAGAATGGAGTTGGACTGATGATCTTTCTGTAAGACAACATCCCTATATCTGAATTAATGAAGTCAATAGAAAGAACATATTTTGTTGCATGCTAACAGCTAACGGGCTGTTAAAAGGCACGCTATCACCACCAACCAAAGTAACACAAACAGTCAACATCATAGATTTTAGGATGAACTATATTGGTGAATTCAGTCCATATCTGTACTGAGTCTACGACGCTGGATCACGGTGTTTCATGATAACCATATGTTCTTCTAACATGTTTGGAC